TCACCTAACAACGGAGGCAAGAAAGGTCGTAAAACGGGGCAAAACTCACTTAACCAATGTCTCACTTAACAACAGAAATCGTGGCGCTCAATTGTGGTCGTCAGCCGAGGACTACTTGTATGCAAGAGCTGCATCACAAAAAAGAGGGAAGAGACTCCCAGAATGTGAGCAGCAATACAAAGAACAGACAAGTGACGGCGGGGGGGGGGGGGACCCNGGTGTTGAAGTCTCTGACTACATGCTGATGGCTCAATCATTTCTGAAAGTCTTTCCATTATTGAGCTGTCTAGTACCCCAAGATTTTTTCCCCCTCCAAAATAGTATGAAAAATTCCTTACGGTATATGAGATATTTCTTTAAGCCATTGCCCTTTGGCCAAGATTGCATACTTGAGTGGCTAGTAGCAGTTACTAGTTGGGCTATTTTCAATGTCATTTATCTTTTAAATGAAAAGTGAAGAAGTGAACCTAGGACCTTTTGCACGTAAAGCCTGCTTTCTTCAGTGGCAGAGCTGAGCTACTCCTTACCCCATTAATAAGCAGCCTAACTCTAAACCACCACTGAGAATGGTGTGATGTAGTTTGTAGGAAGTGTGGTTTATATCTGTAGTGATATGGTATTGATAACGGCATTAGATATCCCCAGGTGTAACATATTTGTTTAGAAAGGCAGGCAGATGTTATTTTTAAATGTTGGCAAACTGGATATAGTGCTATCCTTAGTGGTCTTGTGAATTTTGTCCCCATCAGCAGTAATATTCCCCAGTGACTAGACTATGAAAGATGTAGCTCTTGAGAACTGTAATTATGAAGCTGGGTAGGGTAGTTACTTTGGGCTTCACATATTACATTCAATCAAATTGTGGTTGTTGGTTTTGGCTGTTAGTGTGATGTGTAGATGAAAGAATGGAACCAGGAAATAAATTATAGTTTGAATGGATGGTACATCACAATCTAAAAATCCTGGTTTGTTGCTGACTTACTAATGACCATTTTTATTTAGCATTATATGCACATATGGATGTGATCATTTGCAATCTCTGGTTTATTCCTGGTTGGTTGGTTTTTTTTTTCAATTAAGGCATAAATCAGTCTGGAGTCCAGCCACAAAAGCACGAGATAGGACCTGTGAAAAAGAAGGGAAAAAACAGCAGGAATAAATAATAAAACTATTATCACTTTGTCTGTAATCTTGGCTTATTTTCCACATGATGTGTGAATCATGCCTTAGTACAAAGTATGAGTGCAGTTTTAATTGTTATCCTAGCATAAATGAATCTTTTTGGGACTGAACAAGTCTTAGATGTTTTTTTCTTTTTTCCATGGTTTTCAGAGTATCTTTTCCCTTTTCTATGAGGGCCAAACTAGAAAAGGCACCAATACTAATGGCACAAGTGGCCTATTAAAAGTAAACTGCAAGTACAGCTGGTGATTGAATAGGACCTGGCATGGGAAGAGAGGAATTCTGACTCTCTGAGGTCCCACTTCAAAGGAGGCACTATTGGGAATAAGAACAGAGGATTATAGACCAGTGATGGCGAACCTTTTAGAGACCGAGTGCCCAAACTGCAACCCAAAACCCACTTATGCATTGTCGGGTGCCGGGTGGGCGTGACCCATTGGGTGGGTGTGGCCCGTTGGGTGGGCGTGGCTGCGGTGGTAACAGCAAACTGGGTGGGACTAAAAAGTTCAATCAATCAATTCCAACTTTGCAAGATCTTTTTTTTCCTGCGAGAAGTTGAAATTGACTGATTGATTGAACCTTTTTTTTTGTACATGGCGACGGAGGCCTAAAGCGAAAAGGTTTTATAAAACCCAGCTGAAGGCCTAGGACTGGGGTGACAGCGCGCGTGCCCACAGAGAGGGCTCTGAGTGCCGCCTCTGGCACCCGTGCCATAGGTTCGCCACCACTGTTATAGACTGTCCTGGTTCAGCTTCCCCTTGTTGGATCAGAGAAAAGATCCATCAGTAGCCAACCTAGTACAGGTAGTCGTCGACTTACAACAGTTCATTTAGTGACCATTCAAAGTTACAACAGCACTGAAAAAAGTGACTTATGACCGTTTTTCACAGTTACGACCTTTGCAGCATCATGTGATCAAAATGTAGATGCTTAGCACCTGGTTCATATTTATGACCATTGCTGTGTCCCAAGGTCATGTGATCCCCTTTTGCGACCTTCTGACAAGCAAAGTCGATGGGGAAGCCATGTTCACTTGACAACCAGATTGCTAACTTATCAACTGCAGTGATTCACCTAACAACGGAGGCAAGAAAGGTCGTAAAATGGGGCAAAGCTCACTTAACCAATGTCTCACTTAACAACAGAAATCGTGGCGCTCAATTGTGGTCGTCAGCCGAGGACTACTTGTATGCAAGAGCTGCATCACAATCCGTAGAAAACAAAAGAGGGAAGAGACTCCCAGAATGTGAGCAGCAATACAAAGAACAGACAAGTGGCGGCGGGGAGGGGGGGGGAACCCGAACAGGACAGGAGAGCTGTCTTGTTGGAACAGGCCGTCTTGCCTGATAAGCCTGCAGCATTTGTCGGAGGTGGGGGCAACTAGTTTAGACAGGACTGCTCAAGCCTCTCAATCAAACTGGGTTGGAGGCGGCTGCCTCCCCTGTTCCACCCTGGAGCTCAGCAAAAGAGGGGCTGGACTCTCACAGGCCCCTAACCCCGACTGTGGGGCTGAGTATTCTGCTACACAGCAAGTCAAGGGTTTGGAGACCTGAATTTCTTCATCCCTCTCTATGGAAATGAGGAGATGCAATTGTTAAAAAGAGCGATGCCCTTGCCTTGCTGCTAGGTGCATTTCTTACTTTCTGGTAAACATGAGTTAGCAATGGTGTGTATGTGTGTGTGGGGTAGGTATGACAGGCATCTCTTCCTACACATATTCTCCTTCAGTCTGTCCCATCAAGATCTCAAGATTTGGAATTCAAGAAAATAATCATGTGTGTTTCCCCCCCCCCCCCGGATCCATGGGGTAGTTTTCATAATGAGGTAGCTTTCCGTACTTTAGCTAGCATATTCAAAGTTGCCAAATCACACAGCCCATCCTTTCCCAGAGCCAGTGGTTGGTACAAGCATGGCATAGGTTCAAATGCTCTAAAAATGAGGATTTAGTGGCACCAGTGCCTGCTAGCAGGTGATCTAGTTAGTGTAAATACTTAATCATGTCCACGGTGGAGGATACAATATATATAATCACCATCCCAGAAGGCAGTCTTGAAAATTCTTATGGAATCAGTGGGAGTTTAGCTCCTGGCATTTCCAGGCAGGACTAGAAAAGTTTTGGTCTTAAACTGGGGGAGTCTGCTGCCCATTTATACAGATAGTAGTGAGCTACAGGGATCTGAGTCAATATGAGGTGGTTCTCTAGTATTTCCATACAGGTAGTCCTCGATTTACAACAGTTCATTTAGTGATCGTTCAAAGTTATAACCGCACTGAAAATGTTTGTGACCTTTTTTCACACTTACAACCGTTGTAGCAACCCCGTGATCAAAATTCAGACGCTTGGCCACTGACTTGTATTTATGACGGTGGTAGTGTCCCCTGGGTCACGTGATCACCTTTTCTGACCTTCTGACAAGCAAAGTCAATGGGGAAGCCAGACTCACTTAACAACCGTGTTACTAACTTAACAACTGCAGTGATTCACTTAACAACTGTGGCAAGAGGAGTTGTAAAACGGGGCACCGCTCCCTTAACAAATGTCTCACTTAGCAACAGAAATTTTGGGCTCAATTGTGGTCATACGTTGAGGACTACCTGTATCGACTTACTGTATTTGTCAAAGTTCGGGAGAAGTCACCAAAAAGAGACTTTTTAGGATCCTCCCAAAGTGTTAATGCTACAGTGCCCAGAATTCTGTGCCAATGTCTGGAGGGCACCAGGTTGAAGAACTATTCTGGGCAGGGTCAATCTTATTATCTGAGATCACTGATTCCTTTTAAGCCTGTGAAACTTCCTTGGGACTTTACCAATTACATAAGGCTAAGCAATGGTGGGGGTAGAGAAGGAAGAGGTTAAGAGCAGGGTGGTAAGCCAATTTACAGGGAAGATTTCTCTGCTCTTACTGGCCTTTACTTAGAGCAAAGATGTGCCATCTCAGATCTCCAGGCTTCAGTCTGAAAACTGTGATGTTTTCCTCCAGTCCCAAAGACTTCCAAAAGTTGGCACCACAGGTTACTTTCTAATATGACAGAAGGGGGGATTTACTGAAGTGGAGCAATTGTATTTAACTCTGTTTATTTAAAAGTAATGACATTTTAGTTTTTGCTCTGGTCCCACTGGCCACTTTTTGAAATAGGACTTGCTGGCACCCAACATTGAAAACCAGAGGGACTCTGATGAACTTCCCCGACATGGCAAAGCCGCTTGACAAAATTGTGACTCACAAATGCACTCACAAAGTGTGGTGTGTAGTGGAAAGGTAGCCGTCAGAGGGTGGTGGGCAGAGAGTTAACTAACCGAAGGGCTGATACAAACGGCTTGGGCTTCGTTAGGCAAAACCTAAAAATATTGGTCCACGCAGAGAGACGTTTGCCCGCCTTTGGGTCTCTGTGAGTGACGGGCAGTCTCCGGGCACATCCTGGCTTGGTGGAGAAAGCCGCTGGTTGTGGGACATGGGAGCAGCCCTTTCTGACAATCTGACAGACGCCTGGGCGCAGGGGGGGGAGCGGCAGCGGCGGCCGCGGCGGCAGCGAGAAGGAGGAGAAGAGAGAAAATATTTTCCGTGTCTTCGCCTGAAGTCATTCTGTGGTTTTTGAAAAAATGTGCTGTATATTTTCAGGGCTGTGTCACATGATCTACTGGGGTTATGAATAGCCGAGTATAATGATTTCTTAGTGAACGTTAAAAAAAGAGAGAGAGAGAGAGAGAGAGAGTGATTCTCAGCGCGAGGGAGGCTCCTACTCGCGCAGGAGCAGCGGGGAGAGACGGGACGTGGAAAGTTCCCGGGGCTCCAGGTGTCTCTCTCGGGGTCCCCACCCCACCCCGTATGTAGCCTGCCCGGGCACAGGTGAGTGGGCAGCTGGCTGGGCCTTGAGCTGAGGTGGGAGGTCAGATCCCTGATTTGGCGCTTGGATTTCTGGGCTGCTCCGCTTTCTTTTGAGTTTCCAAGGGCTCTTCGGAGTTTTACTTGAGTGCGGCGCGGTGGGGATCCTGTGGAAGGGGGAAGGTCTTCTTGAATGAAAGAGAGGGAGGAGGGAGGGGAGAGAGAGAGAGAGAGAGAGAAAGAAAGAAAGAAAGAAAGAGAGAGAGAGAGAGAGAGAGAGAGAGAGAGAGAGAGAGAGAAGGAAAAACTTTATGTCTGAGATGGCTCTAAACACACACACACACACACACACACACACACACACACACACACACTGCAGAGACTACGTTCGTCCGTGGCTACCTTATGAATGGCAGGAACTCTGGCTCTGAGAATGTGTGAGAGTGACAAAGTTGGGGTAAGGATAATTATATGTAGATATGTGTGGCGGTGTTGGGTGGGTGGGTGGGAGTTTGTTTGGACAGAAGACCGGCTCATGTGGCTGAACACCAGTTTGATAAGCTTTGACAACCCTGTTGCCTTCCTTTTTCCCCCCCCTTCAAATTCCCTTCCCATTCAGTGTAGTGATATCTCCCCTGAATACTGATTTGCACTGGGGCTGAAAAGGTGTTGAAACCTTGGCTGCTTTCAGTCACCGGCACATCTCTCACTGAGAGTATTCAGAAATGCCGGCAATTAGACAGGCAATTTGTGATTACAGGACGAAGCATCTCTCTCTCTCTCCCTCTCCCTCTCCCTCCCTCCCTCCCCCCACCTAGCTCCCTAGGACCATTTCTCGTCCCTCTTGAATACCTGAACAAAGTTTTTTCAAAGTTGAGGGAGCAGGCAGCAAGGGATTACTTTGCGAATGTTTGCGGAAGGAGAAGGGGTGTGGCAGCCCATACTGTCTCTAAGAAAAGAGTGCCCAGCATCTGTACGTTTTTATGGGAAAGCACTCGGCTTTGGCCGGAAAAAGCGCGTTGTAGTGGTGGGTGGCTGTGGATTAGGTGGGGCAGCTTTGGGCCTGTTCTCCAGATGTCTGGACCATTATATGGACATTTCCTCTCTTCCAAAAGCTATCCAAATCCTTGAATTGATCAATTAAACCATGGTGCCATCTTGACATATATTGCTAAAATAGCAAAAGAATTGTCCTGGTTTTATTGTTGGGTTGTTTCTTTGGTTCTGCTAGGCATAAGAAAAAAACAAAGTAAACTTTCCTGTAGTTCTGTCTTGGCACAGACCTTTTCGGCCGTCCTTTTACTTTTGACTTGCTATCAATATTGCTCCATGTGATTCTTCATGTAAGAGAAGGACTTGCATACATAATTAACTTGTCCATTTATCCATCCTTTATTGTCATCTTGCTGCTCTGATTTCTCCTCTTCTGCATGTAGTACCTCCTTGTTGCTTATATAAGTAACACTTATGTATACTATTGATTGCACAATAAGCTTGCTTGATGTGGTGGCTAGTAGCATATATGCCTGGATTTGTCCTGTTGAGTAGGCAACAAATCTGTTTCCTTGGCAATCTTCTGTAGATGCCTGCCTAGCAACAGAACCAATTTTCAGGTCCAGATGTCTGGACCTCAATAAAAGATATGATGGTGTATAGGATTCCAAAAATAATGAGGCCAATATGTCTATGCTAGCAGCCAATTAAATGCAGATCTAAAAAGTCTCCATTATGTCTCTGTTGGGCTGTTTTGTATATATTAACATATTAATGTTAAAGTTTTGGTTGGAAAATGGAACCAGACTGGATGGTATAGTCTGGATCTTTTAAGTGAGCACCCCCTAAAGGAAAATTTGAGGATTGCTCCCCAAGTTCAGTTATATTTTCAATTCTCTTTTTGTCCCCTTTGTTATGCATCTGAGCATCTTCAGTTGTCCTGTAGGGAAAGGTGGGGTGACTCTTCCTGTTGTAACAATAAGGGATATGAGGCTGAGATATATAGAGGTCATTAGACTTATTAGTCAGAATAATAATGAAATAAAATGATGCACAGATTTTCCAAATTGGGTGGAGTGAAAATTGTAGCATATGAACATTTTGTGTTGGTGAAAATTGATTTTTCTTGCCTTCTTCATTTGCTGCCTGTCTAATTACAAAGCAGAACTTGTTTCTGTTCTCCTCTGATTAGTGCAGAATAATAATAATAAAAAAGGGAACATGGTATTTCTGCATAGCCTACTAAAATTGCTTTCGGATGGGCCACTAGAACCCTCCTGTCTCAGGATTCAGGCTGTTTCTCACATGGCAGACAAGGACCAACAGTGAGACATATTTTTTCTACTAGAAAATCCTTTGGGGTCCTGTTTACTGTTACTTCTGGTTCCATGGAATGCTCCCTTTATGTTTCTCATTAGCAGCAGCATTTGGCCAAAAATAAACTGTTAAAAGGATGAAATTAAAGGCAGGCTTATAAATAAAGCCATGATGGATAAAATCTGTATCCACGCAAACCAAGTGGGGAGGTGCAATAAAAACTCTTTTTTAACATTGGGCCGTAGTAGATTGAAAGAGGCATTCATGTCCCAGTGGTGGGCTAGGAACCTTTGCAGACTGAGTAGCCTTCTGCTTTGATCTTCTCCGAGCTCTATTTTGGGTCTTTCTCATTTAATTCAGGAAAACATGTGCTTCTGCCCATGTCATCTTTTTAATAATGAGGCTAAGATTAAAAGATATGGACTGGACAGTAATCATCATCTGAGCATGGTTAAGAATGGTTTAGGCTTAGAACCGAGATATCCATTTGAGTTACAATAAAATACTGGCATTCTTGTCCAATCTGGCTTTTTAGATGTTTCCTTGCTAATTGCTATAGTTGTCTTTGTTTTTCATTTTCCCCTTCAAGAATAGTCAGGGAATTGAAATAGTGGGCTTTACGTTGCTCCCAGATACGCTTGAGACAATCTTATTGAGTCTTGCATGAACACAGAGTTGGACAAGATAAACTTAAAACCTTTTCCAATTGTATGATTTTTTATTTTCATTTCAAAGTTGTCTCTAGCCTTCTGCTTATCTTTTCTATTTGTTTACATACTTTGCAAAGCTTTATTCCTTTCCTTTCTTCTTTCAACATTGTCCTTTACCTCCAAAGCTTGTTGGGCACATTTCTTTTTCTTATGTAGTTGATTGAGTTGACTCTCTTCTCTGGTCATTCACTATGAATGGAATGTGCCATTTAGCTTAACCTATTGTTAGAAGATGTGCATAGATCCATATTTATACAATATTATAAATTCTTAGAGCAAGGAGAGTGTTCCTTTTATCTCATCTCTATTGCACAGAATATGTTGTGTCCACTGAAATAGCCATTATTGTATAAACAGAATGTATCAAAAATATGGTAGCAAAATATCATCTTTGTTCTAATATAGCTATTCTGAAAAACTCCCACCTATTCTCCATTTCATGTTTTCTGCCTTAGAGCCTTTGCCCACTTGCTAATCTTTACCCACTAATCATAGCACAAATGTGCCCAGACCACATCTCTTTTTTGCCATGCCCTCCTGAGATTGCCTTCATTTCATTTCCAGTCCATGAATGGACAAGCATAAGTCAGCCTTAGCTGTACTAAGGTAGAAGTAACACTTTCATTCTTGGCATAGTTCAATGGCAGCCTGCAGGTATGTGAAATTTGTTAGGTTTTGCCTATTACCTTTGAGTGAGTGAGATCAGAGGACAGAGAGGCTAGATAAGAGACAGCAGTGGGAACAGTAGATTTCTTGCTGATGTAGTTTTCTGCTGATTCAGGGAAGGGTGGGTAGAATTTTGACTCAGTGACCAGGAAAAGCTTTAAATGTAACATTTCTAAAACATGATCCAAATTTATGATGGCCAATCATTTTTGAAGAATACAGTGAATGCTGATGAAGATGCTCCCTTCCAAGAATACTTCAATATTTCTTTTCTTCCCATTTACAGAGGATCTAGGAAAGGGTTCTAGAGTGCCCTTTCGGCTTAGAACGACTTCAGCCAGGCCTTTGAGACAGAATACAAGCAACACTGCATCTTGTTCATGGCAGGGAATGATCAATAATTATGGGCAATGTGTCATTCAAGAAACCTTTGCCGTTACTGGCCTTATTAAGAGGCTATATACAACTTTCTAGGAGATCCAGGGGTTTCCAAAACACGTATTTGCTAATCAACTTAAGAATCTAGAAATATATTGTGGGGAGGGAATCAAAAATAATGTGGAGATGAAATGTGTTGCTTGATATGTGCCTCTTGGCCATGTGGAGCTCAGCTGAAATTTCATGCACAACAAGCATAGGTACTCTGGGCAGGTAATAGGACGTGATGTGCAAGAGGACCACAGGTCTTCTATTTCCTAAAGTGGATGCTATACTTGCCATGGGCTTATTTTGAGATTCTTATATTCAAAATTAGAGGATATCTTTCTCCAATCTAATACCCTTCAGATATATTAGATTATAGTCCTGTCAGAGCAAGCCAACAGGGTCTATAAGTAGACTAAGTATGAATTATGTAATTTGTAGTCTAACCTACCCAAAGTCATTAAGTTGAGATTGATGTCAGAAAAACAGTTGTGGGTTACTTACTAATAAGAGAGCTAGCTAATGTAAGATGATGTCAATTCCTGATTCCCATGGGATATATTTTCTTCTAAATCTCATCATGATGATCATTAGACTAGCATTTTCTATATCTAGTGAGACAGGAAAACCTGCTATACTGGCAAGGAATTGCCATTTGGGCAATGCCGAATATGTATAGTTGAAAAGAAAATCCAAGTTTCTAGTCTTCAGTAGTATGGAGAATAGTAATATATGAGCAATAACCTGTGAAGGCTTGAATAAAAAATTAACAATGGTCTGAAGGTAGGACATTCACTATGTCTAGCTCTCCCTCCCTCCCATGAGAATGCCTCAGCTGGGCTTCACTTTGGATTCTGAACAAGGTAAACAAGGCATGGAAGTACAGTCAATTCACATAATTCTGCATGACTAATT